GCTAGCTATTTATTTAGTCTGTGAAAGACCTGAGGCTGGGTGGGGGGGGGTGACTTTTTGAGTGGCAGCCCACAAACAACAAACCTGCCTGTCTCTGTGTCCCATCACGTTCTCCCTGCTGCCCTTTTCCATTTCCCTGCCCACGCTTTCGGAAATTCCCTAAGCCCTTGTAAACCCTCTGTTCCATCATCATCATCCCTACGTGCATCACATGGATGAGTCTGCCACCCCAACGGTACCGACTGCTGCTGGACACCACAACACGGCTGTTAGAGGTCTGCGACCACGGCGACGAGAAAGAACATAAATGCAATATGAACCCAGCTACGCCCACACCGTGGACGACAAGTGGAGAGATGGACAGAGAGAGGGAGACAGAGGTGTTGAAGGCACCGCGGGCAGCAAATGGAGAGCTCCCAAAACCCGCAGGAGAGAAGACAGCCCATCTGCTAAGAGCAGACGGAACCGGAGAGGTGACACAACTGTGGGCCAGCTGTCTTCAGCGAGGTCACCAGTGACAAGCTTCCTCACGGGATGGTTCCTTGTTACTTCTCAGGATCAGTTACCGTCACACCTTCGAGTGCAGTTAGCCTTTTACTGTACAAACCCGTCCATTTTTAGCTTTCCTCCCTTTGTCTGTGCTGCGGTCAAGCTAAAGAGGGGTATTTATAGGGGTATATATAAAGGCAGTGCAAAGGCATGCAGACACAGGAAGCGGGGCGGGGCTGCCTCATGCGCCAGTGACACCCTTCATCTCCTGGAGATTACAGTAATTGGGATCTGTCAGAGTGGCCAGGCCAGGAGAAAGCTGCTTACATCATTGTTTCATCCAGATCACTGGCAAAGGGATCAGCTCCCTCTCAAGGCGTGATGTGTAAATGAGTCCTGGGTGTGGCTGCAGGGTACTGTTTCTGTCTGCCTGCAGACTGGGTGGTGACGGGCGAGCATGCAGCAACACGGGGGCACCATAAGTCAGCTGTGTGGGAGTCATGGTGGTACTGGGATGGGGCAGATGTGGGAGGGGCAAATTATAATTATTATTTTTCTGGAAAAGATGTAACAGTGCTGATTATTATTATTATTATACATACATAAATCCAAACAAATTCTGGTACTATCTTGCTAATAAATATAACCCCCCCCCCACAATGGCAGTGCTGTGTGGCTCAGAGGGTTAGGCTTCTGGCCCTGTGATTAGAAAGTTGTTGGCCCAAACTTTAGTCACATGTCTGTTGGGTCCTTGCACAAGGCCCTTAACTTGTGCCCACCCCCGCAAACGTTCCAGGGCTGCCTGATAAAAGGTTTGACCCTGTGCTTCACTCTCACCTGTATGTGTGTCTCTAAGGCAAGCAAGATGGGACATACTGTACAAAAAGAAGCCTTCCAATGTAACTGTACTTGTGCATATTACAAATAAAGCATCGTTTCCTTTTCTTTTCAACACTTGCATCCCATCCAGGGAGACCCCTGCCGTGTATCATGTACTGCTCTCCATGACCATTTAGCCTCTACCGTATACAGTAAGCCTTGAAAATGGATGACTGGACGGAGAGCTATATGCTCAGACTGACGGATGGAGTTGTGCAAAGACTGAGAATCCATAGTATTGGCGAATTCTCCCGGATATTTAGATAAAAAAATGCAATTTTGCATTTTACGGTATTAGAAAAACTTTTTTTTTTTTTTTTTACAAAATGTATAAAAACATTTTGGCACGGCACGTTTGTCCGTGTATGGACAGGTAGGCAATCCCTGCTCTGCAATACGGAGGATTTGCAAACACTGCAGCGAATCCCCCGCTCCTCCGGTGCCCCCGCTGTGTTTAACCTCTCCTTCGCTAAAATCCCCGCCGGTGAGCCTGCAGATGTGAAGATCACAACGGCCGGTTAAAGGGGCGCCTTCACGTCTCCCTCTCCGGTCGTCCTCATCTCGAAAAAGACGCCTTGGGGCAATTACTGATGCGCCGCTTCGAGGGGCATTTAAATGTATAACTTCACGCTACGAGTATCCCTGCGAATAAACAAGATGTCGAGTGGAAAACACGGCCCCCCACTACCGCCTGCTTTACTCAGATGTGCTTGATTTGTAAATAGAAGAGATTACAGGTCCCCCAGATGGAAGAAAAAAAACAAGTCTGATCGCATAATTTCTCTATGGGCAATTTGGTCCCATTTCACATCTCCCCTATCGCGGCAATGAGATCCAAAACCATTATACTACATACACAGGTGGAAACAAAAATGAAGATTTCTGCCCCAGAAGATGAAACGGCCCACTCTGTGGTATGTAACGGTACCTGCGGCTTTGGTATTCCGGTCAATGCTAGGGCTGAGATATAAGAAAAAATGTTAAATAATAGTAATGACTACAGTACCATCATTTGGCAGGCAACGCTGAACCCACAAACAGAGTTGCTCCGTCCTTCATTTATTTACACACCAACCTCGTTGAGGAATAAATGAAGATTACAAACAGATGTTTCCTCTCAGTTTATACACATTCTCACCGTGAAGCCGGCGAGATGATAGATTGACGGATGTGTGAAATCCTACTGTCTGTCATCTCACTTCCAATCCGTTTCTGAACATTTTTTTTTCAACCAAACCAGGTAAAGGATGACGGCCATTATGCTGCCTGGAAATTCGTTCATCATAAGCACGTTTTTCCTCGCTCCCCGTATTTGCACCTTTAATTGCGTGGGAGCCATCCTATACCAGATCATATCTGACATACGTCTGACTGGGCTGCGGTACTGTGAGCAAACACGTTGCATTAATGTTAACGGGAGCTGAGCGCATCAGCACAGGGATTTAATTACCCATTAAACCTCTACAATCTCTAGGCAGGAACAAGCAGTTTTCTTATGTGATACTTTATCCTAAAGCGACTTGCAATTTTACCCATCTACACAGCTGGGTATCATGGCAGAAATCCGGAGTTAAATACGACACTATTTCCGTCACTGCCTCGGACTTGAACCTACAACCTTCGGGTCACAAGTTAAATGCAGCCCTTGGTCAAAGACACACGACTAAGTTATGGCTGAATGCTGAAAAAGTCCCATATCCTCTCAAACCACCTTTCGGGAATAGAGAGAAAATCTGTTTCTTTTTCACACCTGGACAGAACAGTTTTCAAAGGCATCAAATCAAGAGAAAATATCATACAGTAAAAAGTGTGTATCAACAATATAATTAGTGGAGTGACATAAACGCACGTAAATATTCAATGCAGCAGCAGCGAACAGTGGCAAGCACAAAGACTATGCAATAATCTTTGTTAGTCACCTTTCTGCTGTGCAGAGCTGGCAGTGTGGAGGGTGTCAGTGTCAGGCCGAGGAGGATGGGGCTGTGGTCCCGAGTAAACTGGACTGGCCAGGCTCACAGCGTACAACAGCGCGACCCAAGCCGCAGCATCACAGGAGCCCGAGAAAATAGGTCACAATGTCCTGAATATTAACAAGGCGCGATTTTTCGGAACCGCCGAGCAAAACATCAAGTGAGACCGCGGTGTGTCCGCGGACGCGCACAAGTGCGCGCAAAGTCAGCTGCGGTATCGGCCCAAATCCAACGCCGTCGCGGCAACTTGGCAAGACCCGCTACACCTTTCAGAAAACTACACCTTGATTTAAAACATCCTTCTTGATCAGACAGCTGACTTTAATTGAAGCGGCTAAAAACGGACATAAGTCTATTTATTATACCTCAGCTTGTCATCCTAACTAGACCAGAAATAACTCAGTACTGGCAGAGGTTGACTTATGTAAAAAAAGACAGTGAAAATAATTATATTATTATTAATTATATAAAACGACAAAAGGTCACATATCAAAGTTTAAAACTAATTATAAATCCATGTTTCCCATACGTTCACAAATCTCAGGAAGGATTTTAGAAAACTGCTGCCCCCTGCTGCTAAAAATAAGGTATTACAACAGTGCTCAAGCGATCCGGTTCGTCCTCCCATAATACAAATTCCAGCACGAAGAAGTGGCACTCCTGAAAGACAAAGCTAATTGATTGCGAGGATATTCCCAAGGCTATCCGCTAATGTTGTATTTTCTTGCAGCTATGCAGGTTTAGGATACCGCATCGTGAGTCATGATTGACAGCTTTCCGTGGTTGGGCTTTGAGGCGGGTGAAACAATAGCTCACCATGAACCTTCATTAATGAGCTCAGACTCTGCCTTCTCACTGCAGAAGCAGTAATGTCACATTTAAAGGAGGTGATATCTTTGGGAACCTCCACTTCCCTGCAGCCTGGATCCGTTATTGATTTTTTTAATCACAGTCAACAGGACCAAGCCTACTAGTGTATATTAAATATAATCCCTTTGAAAGGGGCAGTCTGGATTTATGTGTCATTGTTTTATTTGACAGCTTTTGGTCTATACAATAACACTACAACCGCTAATGTTTAATAACCTGATAAAGGCCTATTTCAGTGAGCTGTAATGACCCAGACACTGTTGCATCCTGCTACGGTCACAGGGCAACTGATTCCATCACTAACTTCAGATATCAGTGCTTCCCAGAGCATCTTCCGTCTTTATCATTAATAAATTAGCTTGCGATCGTGAGCGTGGGGAATCCCAAAAAAACAGGCCGACATGGATCACTAGTTCAAAACCCAGGATGCTAGCTAATCCCTGCAGTAATAAATTTAACATCCATTCCTTCTTCCATTCCGCACCCTCTTACCTTACTGAGGGTGACCAGCCAAGTACCAGAATAAATTATTAGAACTGTCAACAAAACTGATTGTTAAGCATATGTGATGTCTATGGCTGTCCCAGATTCTATCTGATATAAGAAGTGTGCAACCTCAATCCAGTTAATCTAAAGTGGAATTCTATATTTCCGATTATCAGGCTTCCAGAACAGACTGTAGTACTACAAATATCCCACAAGGCATCATTATGTTCCACCCACAGCAGACAAGCAGAAACAAACTATACTCAAGGGTTTCAACAACATATCTGTTGGCCTTCACACCTGAAATTCAGATAAACCCACAAAAAACAAATTTTTATTTCAGTGCCCAGAATTTCAAGCAGAACATCAAGCTAATACATATTTAAACACGTGTATAACAGAAAGCAGAGGTAAGAAGTATTTCGCAAACTCTGGGTGACCCAGCAAATCTGCTCTGGATCGTGGGGTTTTATTAAATATTAACAGTACCCTGCTACACTTGGATGAAATAGTGAATCGGATTTCTTACATACTTCTCCGCATCATTGTTGCTCTAGGGCAGGGATGAGGAACCTGATCCCTGGAGGGCCGGTGTGAGTGCGGGTTTTTGAGACGGCCTCTCAATCAGCCAATAACAGTGGGACCTCAGGACTGGAGCTGAGAAATACTGCTTTATTATTGGCTGATTGAGAGGTCATCCCGAAAACCCGCACTGGCCCTCCATGGATCAGGTTCCCCAGCCCTGCCCTAGAGCGATGGGCTGCCCCTGAAGCTGCAAAGCCAGATGCGTTTCGCAGCATCCAGGAGGACCAGCCGGTACAGAAAGTCCCTGCAAAGGCCAACAAAGAATCTCATTTGAATGCCTGTGGAAAGCGATTCCTATTTTCACGCACTCCTTCACTAAAACCTTTCCGAGACTGGCCACAGCATTCATGAATATATTTATAAATATAAATATCTATATGTATAGCCTCAGCATTTATTGTTAAAGACATGTAACTCCACAGCTTAACACAGAATGAAGAACTCGCCACACAGAGGCACTGAACAGCCTGAGTAGCAGAGCCGCCGCCAGCGATGCCTTGAGCGACTGGAAAAGAGTATAATTGTCTGCTCTCCGGTGCTATTTCTCTAATTTTCTTGTCCATTGGGCATGTGAAAAGCTCATTCACATTGTTAAAACCCATAGCTATGATTAAATATTTTAAATAAATCAATGGCAAGGGCAAAGACTTGATGACAGTCAGGCAATTGGTGTCTGACAATGCGTAATATTTTTAATTTTCCAGTTATATTAATTTTATCTCTGTTTTATGCGTGTATACAGAAGGATAACAACAAACAACTAGTATATTTTAACTTTTCAGCTATGGGAACTGAGTGTCTCGATTATTTTTTATTTTTTTTTACATTTTCTTTAAAAGATTTTCTGATTTTGACTTGGAAGATTTACTGAGAGAAACTATGAGTGTGCAGTAAAAATACTGACAGGCAAGAATATGTGTATGTATAATTTGTAATTTCAGCAAATCCGATTATTTTAATATATGCTGAAAGCCCTTGTGGGTGTAGATAGGCCCCCCTTCACATTCGCAAGAATTAGGGGCGGAACAGCCCCACCAATGTAAAAATTTGTGAATACATGCAGTCCAAATCATTTTCAGTATTACTTATATATTTTTGGTTTGCGCATCATCTGCAAGTTTCTGCGATCTTTCAGCAAGCCCCAACATTATTCCCATTTAATTGTTTACGGCCAACTCCCGAAGGACTGAACCCACAAGTGTCAAATCTACGAATCTGGAGAGGCGACGGTATATATTTTCCGCCCGCAGGGTTATGAGGTAGTGGAGCCATTCTGAAGCACCACAGATCAAAATGTGGATGCAAACCCTGGACACCATAATAAATTTATGAGGTTGCCCACCTGAAGGTCTTTGTCCGATTCATGCATTCAATTTGAGTTCCCAATAACATGCAATAAAGTTACATTCAATATGCTCACTTAGAACCAAGGGTACCATGCCTGACTAGACCAACACTGATCCAACTGCTACCTCCCCTCAATCCCAAAATACATCTGAAACACATCCCCACAGCCCTTATCGCTGAGGAACTGGTAGAGCTGTCCAAGGTCCATGTGATTCCCTCTGCTCCCATGGGGGTCAAATATAGCTTCCTCAAAGCCAGCAAACTTGCAAAGTGAGCTGAGGGCCTCCCGTTGATCGTCACCCCGACCCTTCAGGGGTATGTCCTCTCTGTGCCTGATCATTATTCTCTTCCAGGTTAAACATTTAACCCTATAAATCAAACAAACAAAAACTTGTCAAGTCATTCTGTCAAACAAAAAATGTTAAGAATTACCACGAGGAAAACAAAATATGAAGGATGCACTTTTTGGTCATCCTGGCTGTATTCTTTTGCTTCTCTTGGCATATAGACTCCACAGTGCTTATGTACTAAGACAGAAGATATTCAGACAGCTAGAAATTATCAGCATATTCCATTCATTTGGTAAATGTCTACCAGATTTAATTTAGAAAGTAGTTAGAAGTGAATAAAAAACTGCAAGAGATTTTACATTCTAATAATCCATACTTCATTCTCATAACCAATCCATATCTCATGCCATCTGCCACCAACATATTAGACACAATTAATGAATATTCTTGAATAATTCATTAGGTATGTGTGAAAATTACCCACTGTATTGAGTGTGACCCAAAACAGGCTATTGAAAAATCTATTAAACTCCGTACAAAGTTCAGAATCTGGGACATCTTGTGAAGGAAGTTATTTTTGCATTTTTGCGCCATGACTCCACTGTGAGTGAAGGTAGACATCATTAATATCAATGAAAAGGCTTATGAACCCATATCTGAAAACAACACATTATTCTGCCAATTTGACACTAATGAGAGGCGAGGCCTTGACTCAGACGAGGCGGCCATCCTGCCAGACAAGGCGACAGTTCACAATATAGCCAGAACCAACGGGTAGAAGAATACAAAATTAAACAGACTCATATTTAAGGTAATAAATGGAATAATTAATAAAGGGTACGCTCAGAACTCCATATAATTTCAATAACTTTTACAAAAAAAAAACATTAAGAAAAGTTTGGAATGTGTTATATGATATATAAATAACAAAGATGTACAAATTAAACAGAATAATCCTGTTACAAGGACAGTGTTTGGCTCAGTAGGTGAGGACGCTAAGTCTGTAACCAGAAGGTCGCCGGTTCAAATCCCGCTGTTGGCAGAGAGATTTTGTAATTGGAACCTTGAAGAAGGCCCTTAACACCAGCTGCTCCAGGTACTGGCTGACCCTGATGTCTCAGTTGTATGTCACTTTGGATGAAACATCTTCTATATAAATAGATAAATAAAATACCTGGCCCAGAATTCCTCGCAATCTGGCTGCCGTCCCTCGACACATACAACCCCGGGTTTCCCGGGCATGCTGAATCCGGACAAGCCCAGCTCTCTCGCCCAGTCCAACATGTTCTTCCTCTTGCTCTTATTGTAGATGTGGTGGCTGTAAATCCACAGCCTGGTGAATACTTCCCACGCCGTGCTGGAAAGCGGAGGCTCTTTCTGAGGCGTGCTGGAGGGGGCGCTCTGGGCAATGTAGAGGTGAGCGTGATCACGGATCCACTCCGCAGCGGCCAGGACGCACACCTCCTGCCTGCAGTTCTCTGCCAGGTGACATATCAGGTCTCTGTGAAGCTGGCTCAGCTGGGCTCTATTCAGCTCTGGACATCTGGTAGAACAAAAGCTATAAAACCTCAGCACATAAAAAAATAATTTGCTTATAGAGTCATTAAATCTTTGTTTGGAGCAGCCTACAGAAACTGCTGACATCTGGTAAAGTCTATGTAAAGTACAATCTCAAAAAAGAAGTGGAACACGCCTAAAAGCTCAAAGTTCTTCATGGGTAAATTATGCAAAGGTAAGAAAAATATGACTTTTAATTACAGATTGAATGAAACAACATAATAATCAAACTCTTTTAATTTTTTTATGAGAATAAAAAAATCACATTCTTCACATACCTGAGAGTAATTTCTGGCAAGACATTGGGGTACCCTGACACGTACGTACAAGAAATTGTAACAATCACCTAAAATAAGATTTCAGAAGAGAAAACAGGAAAATTATCTAGCTGATACAATTCAATTCTGCAGTGAAAGTATCACCAGTAAATCTGAAACGTGGCAGCACAGTCGTGACTTAAGGTGCACCTGAGTCTCGCTGTCAGGTTCCACCTTCTGACGGATCACGATCTGCGGTGCCGATGAAGGCCGCGAGCTGCTCCTGCCTTCTGCATAGTCCCTCAGCTCAGCCAGTGCCAGCTGGTCAACTATTACCAACTCCTCCTCACTGGGGAACATACTACCCAGCAAATCTATCTCAGATATCTGGACTTCAGCTTCCTCCCTTCCTTCCATTGCTTACTGAATCCTATCAAATTGAGGAAAAAGCACACCTAAGACATAAGTCACTACGGGAAGTGCGAGGTGCCACACCAGAAGAGCGTGTCATCTATGGGTGTACTCTAACCCCGCGGTTACCGCCTTTGACAAATTGTATTCTTCATTAGAATACCATTACCTTTCGCTTCAGCATTTAATATCGAAATTTACTATAAATATAGAGCACTTCGATAAAGGATGTGTACTTTCATTCGGCACTCTAAGGCTTCGTAAACTGGGACTCAACAGGAAAATATATACGGTTAAAATATATGCTCATCTAAAAGTGTTTTCAAGCTGGATCTCTCCATGTTCACGTCCACCTCTGCACATGCCACTGTGCCAGCCCTTCCCCGTTCGCTCGCCCGATCGTCACTATAGGACTGCCCTGATGACATCAGACCGCTTCCGGGTTAGACGGAAACTGCTTCCGGTTTCTGGGTATGTAAGGTGGACACGTTTTGTGCATCATCCTATGCCCCTGAGGAGCGGAAAGGCTCTCTTTTGGTGGTAAGACGGGGGCTTTCGTGCTTTACAAAGCACCACGAGTAGTATTTCATATATATCTCTTGATAAAATACGAATCACAGTACCAAACCGATTGCTTGATCAGCTGTCAAATTTTCAGACCGACAGATTGCATTGAGAGTGGTTAACGTGGATTTACTACGTGAAACGACCACTTTCGGCTGATATTTCAAATGTGAAAAAAATTCAAAACTGCCGTATTTGTGTGCTCTTTGTCGGGTGCCTCAGAGAGCTTTGGGCCAGCTTTCGCCATCGCAGTCTGGTACGTGGCTCGGTGCCCGATCCCGGTTGTTATCCGGGTGCTTATCGCAAAGTAAAGCTGTTTTCACTAAACCCGGTGAACCTTTGCTTTATAAATGGCTGCAGATGCTAATAACATGAGGGGAAAACTCATAGAAACCGTTAATCGTATATGTAGTATGGCGTTTAGGGTATATTTCCAGTAAAATCCTTTCTCATCTTCCTAGATTTGCATTACCTGCTCGGCATTATATACATTTATGTACTCGTATAAACTTCCCTTTCTGTTCGGCCTTTAAAATCGCTGTACAGTTGAGTATTTATAGTCTTGAAAATAATAATCCACTATGGCATCACTAAAGACACGAGAAGCCAAACACACTAAGGGAGGAAGGTTGTATTTGGAATTTTGCTATTTACCTGTCTGTTCATCCATCTATCCACCCACCCACCTGTCTATATAGCAGCTATCCATCCATCCATTCATTCACGTCTCCCTGTCCTTCCATCACCTTCTCTGTGCTTATGTTACAGCTCTTTAGGCTAATATGGGGAAAAAGAGAAAGGAGAAGAGAGATGATGAGAATTTTGACCACATAGGTAAGGAGCTGTTGATACATTGGTGTTGTTTGGAAATGTCTGCTAATTACCTGAAATATGAGTCAACAATAATCCTGTACAGGTGAAACGGCAAGACAGAGGGTCTGACATGCAAAACACCAGCAAGTTATTTGGTATTTTAGCAGGACCACTGCCCATGAAATGTGTACCGTTGTAGAAATGGTTTGTAGAGCAGATTTAGAAAAGAGCAAAACGATCCTTATTTTGGCAGGTTCATCCTGTACCCACATCCGCAAGGGAATAGACAAGAACTTTCTGAAGAAAACCTCCCAGCTTTTAAAGTGGAACACCTGTCAGGACTGTGGGGATGAGTCAGGAGCTGAACAGGCCATGGTGGAGGACGAGGAGGACCAGGAGAGTGCAGGAGCCCCTATGATCTGGGTCTGCCTGCGGTGTGGCCATCGGGTAAGTCCCCCGGCTCCGCGTGAGCGGCATGCCGCGCTGCATGTGTGATGTCACCAGCAGCTGATGGTGTCCCGTTAACAGGGATGCGGGAGAACGTCTGAGAATCAGCACGCCATTAAGCACTACGAGAAGCCCCATTCAGATACACACTGTCTGGTCCTCGCTCTAGAAAACTGGAATGTGTGGTGAGTTGGAGTCGCATGCCTTACAGCTGTCCCACAAACATGAGAATGGTAATTTAATGGAATATCATTGATTTCCTTTCCAGACAGTCAAAACTGCCACCTTTTTGGTTTTGTCATTAAATAGAATACTTACTTTGCCGTATGTAACTGTACTCATACTTGTACACGCATCCCGTCATGCACTATGATAAGATACACATACAGGTGAGAGGGTCAAGTTTGAGGTCAGTGCACAGGGTTAGCCCCTGGAGCAGATTTTGGGGTTAAGGGTCGTGCCCAAAGGCCGAAAATTGATAATATTACTGGGACTCAAACCAGCAACCTGCAACACTCAGACAAAGGTAACTAACCAACAGAGTCGCATGCCATCCTCATGGAGGTGCTGAATCCTTATGACAGATGCATTTCATTGAACTACATCCCCTGTACACTGCTGATCTCGGGAGTCAGACTACATTAATATCGGATCCTCCAATCCTGATCCAACAGCCTCACTATATTGCTTTGTTTTGTTAAACAGGTGCTACCTCTGTGACGATGAAGTCCAATATTCCAGTACTGGGCAGCTGGCTCAGTTGGTGAGCAACGTGAAAAAGCAAGCGGTCTTAGAACCCAGTAGGAGTGCAGCCCAGAAGAGTAAGTTCCACTCCTTGTGTGTGTGTTTCTGTCCCAACGAAGATGAGGCCCTCAGTTTTTTTTTTTTTTACCCAGACCCACCATGCTTTTTTGTTCTGCCCAGAAGTGACAGAGGAGTCTAGGGTATCGGAGGCGGAGCTGCCGGCCTCGGTGGAGAATTCTGCTACTGAGATCAAGACAGGCACGCAGAGGAAAGGTGGGAGGAGAGATGGAGGGGACCGGAACGGCCAGAAGCCCATCGCAGGGAGCGCTGGCTCCTCAGTCTCAGTCAGGGGCCTCAGTAACCTTGGGAACACCTGCTTCTTTAACGCCGTCGTCCAGGTGCGGGTAGGCGGAGGCTGCTGAGGGGGGCGGGAGGATTAAAATGGAGGGGGTCCCATGTCATTGTGCTCTCCGTTGCCAAACACAGAACCTCTCCCAGACTCGACTCTTCAGGAAGGTCCTTAAAGATATCCTGGATGGGAAACCTACGGTTTCCATAACGCCCGGAATCTCCACCAAGCTGGTATGTTGCTGGCCTGCTCAGATCATGTCATGTCAGCGGGATTTCCCCCCACAAATACGTGTCATGTTGTGTGACGTCGTCAAGGCCAGAGGTTGCCAGAGGTTTCGTTGCGTTTTTGCTTTCAGGAGCCTATATCGATCCAGTTGGAACAGCCAGGGTCGCTCACCGTAGCCATGTCCAACCTGCTGAATGAGATCCAGGAGACCGAGAAGAGTGTGATCACTCCCAGGGACCTCTTCACGCAGGTTTGCAAAAAGTGAGTTTAACTTAGAAGTTTGAATCGGCCACCTACCCTTATCACCAGGATGACATGCATGATGCTTGAACGTCTCAGACGGCAGAGAGCACTCATAGTGAAAGCAAAGAATCCGCTGTAGCCAGTCAGCTTACCGACCTACTGGTCCAACACTTACCCTTAGTGATCCTCCTCTTCCTCAGGGCGGCCAGGTTCAAGGGCTTTCAGCAGCAGGACAGTCAGGAGCTGTTGAGATACCTCCTGGATGGCATGAGGGCCGAGGAGACGAAGGTACGGCCTCCATAACGGCTGCATGGCGTGGTTTGGGCACCAGGAGTCGTCCACATCTAACCCTGAGCGGAATGTGTTAAGCCCTCATTGCTTGAAGCATTCTCTACGTCTGTTGCTAATAAGCTGTGGATCTTTGTTACTGAATAGTTTTCATTACATTATCTGTGTTTTTTTTTTTTTTTCCCCCCCTCTCTGGCTCCACTGTCAGAGGTATAGTTTGGGGATTTCTGCAGCTTTGAAAAACTCTGGAAAAGACACAGAATCTGAAGAATTGAAGAAGCAGATCAAAGGTTGGTGTTTTTTACAGTGCATGCTGACTTTTATTTAGTGGTATTTCAGCTTCGTTCTCGTGTATCTTGCCAGGTAAGTATGCCGTAACCCAAACAGGCTGCTGGGTTAAGTGTTAGGGTCCAAATATAGGGCCTTTCATTGTACCATCGTCGAGATGCCTGACGTGAATTGTTTCCATATATAAACAATCTGAATAAAGTGGGCAAAATCCTAAATCACCTGAAAAAAATTAGATGTAAAAATTAATATTGTTGAATGCATTTTGTTACTTCTGCTCTTTTTTCTAAAGATTTTTATCATTGTTAGTAATTATGTAGATGTATGTGTTTGGTCCCTTTTTTAAAAATGCATTATGGGTAACTGAGTCATTTCACTCGCTTTGCTGCACTGTGACCTTCTCAGACTATGAAAAGAATGGAGCCCCAAAGAACTTTGTGGACCAGGTGTTTGGCGGAGAGCTGACCAGCACAGTTATGTGTAAAGAGTGTAAAACGGTACGAATTGACCACCAGCATTAATCAGTCGCGTTACTTGATAATTAGGTTGTCGTACTGTCTGCTCTGTATAAATAGTTGGTGTTTTATAAATTGTACGGACATGGTTATAAAATTATTTACATTTTCAAATTTTTTCTTTTCTTTTTTTCCATTCAGGTGTCCCTGGTGACTGAGATATTTCTTGACCTGTCACTGCCTGTCTCAGATGAGGTAAAGATTTCTGGACCAGTGTCTATTGTGGATTTACTACTGCATGGTCAGCGTTACCACATCGATTCTCGCATCGTTAGTCTTCCAGGCAGAATCAGCATCACAAAAATGTTCTGAGGGCAGAACGAAAAATGATTGGACCAGTCCGATGTCATGGTCCCACCTCCTTTACAATCTGGTTGGTAATCTCTCAGAACCAGTCATTCTTCATTCTGCCCTCAGAACATTTTTGTGTAAGTAAACCTCCCATGAGCTTCATGTACACGTTACACCCCCATGACCTGCGGCGATCAGAAGGCTTCTGAAGGCCTCTGTGATTTTACACTCCAGCAGAACCTGTTCCGGTCAGCCCCCATGGCTCCCATCACCGTGGTGAATCTGTCACTCACAGGCCTACAGGAAGAAGAATCAGAAGAAGGTCACGCAGAAACCCAATGAGGACAGGAAGCCAGACTCTCCCATGCCAGCTGCCCACAGGGATGAGGACGCCCTGTCCGGCGTGGGCAGCAAGTACCAGCAGAAGAAGGCGAAGAAGCAGGCGAAGAAGCAGGCGAAGGTGGGCGAGAGGCTTGCCCTGGCACCGCGGCCTCAGGGTCGCTTCGTGTGGTGGCCTGGAATTGGCATGATCTGCCTGACATGCGCTTTCCACCTCAATGTTCTCCTCCCACAGTCCAAAGACATGCAGTTAGCAGTGTTGGGCATTTCAGGTCCAGAAACTACAAATCCAGACCAGGATTATGGTTCTACCAACCAGCTGAGCATGAGTCAGTCACAGAGTACTGGTTAGTAGAAATAAAATCTTGGTCTGGGTTTGTTGTTTTGGGACCTGAAATGCCCAACACTGGCATTTGGGTTGAATTGGTCTCTTTAGGATGTGTGGGGGTGTATATGCAGGAAAGGCTATCTGGGTGTCCCTTCCGGTGGGCTGGGTTTCCGCCCCTGGTCCTGGATAAGCACTTATGGAAAATTGATGCATGTTGAACTGCGTTTCACTGACCACTTTATTTTTCCTCTGTCACAGAACCAAAGGCGACAGCAGAAACTGGCAGGAAAGACGCTCTTCACCGGCGAAGATTTGCCCGAACCCAAAGAGGGAGAAGGGGGTGCTTTGCAGAGGGAGGGGGGAGAGCCTGAGGCAGAGGAGCTGGGGGATGAACCTGAGGAACCTGGAAACTCAGAAGGCACTGAAGAGCAGCTGGAATCTGACGCTCCTCCAGGGGGTGCTGTTTTGGAACCTGAAACGGTTACTATGTCTTCTGCCAAAAACCCCTTCGAGGCTCTGTCTGAAGATCCAGACATGGGAGAAGAAAATGAGGACGGGGGAGAAGCCAATGAGGGAGACGATCTGGCAGAGGACCTCCACTCGCTCTCCCTGAACACAGCCTTCGTGAATCCCGATGATGTGGAGCTGGACTTGGAGGATGGGGATCCACCTGTTAACACCCAGGAATACACAGTGGTCAATCAGGACCCGGGGATGGCCTTCAGCAGCCTGGCCAGCAGGGCGGCGCCAGAGAAGGAGGAATGCTCCATATACTCCTGCCTGTACCAGTTCACAGAAGTGGAGAATCTCACCAAGAGCAACAGCCTGCTTTGCGTGACATGCAGCAAGCGCCAGACCAACCCGGCAGATGGTATGGTGTGCTGTGTTCTGCCATCATCACGATTAGCATGTGAAAAAACAGGTGCTTGGTGTTTATGCAGTAACACGGAGACCTTCCAGCTGCAGGCCTTGGTGTGATAGGCCTGCCTTTCACAGCACCTGTAGCATTTTCACACATGGCTAACAAACACTGCGCCCTCGTGTGGCCATTTGCCAAGATGCTTCACCGAAACTCCCATCGGCTTATGTGACGATGTTTCGTGCGAGGCTTGCGCAGTGCCGTGGTTCTGAAACTGCCCCCCCCCCTTCTGTACAGGCTCCCGGAAGAAGGTGTACACAGACGGCCTGAAGCAGATGCTCGTCTCATTGCCTCCTCCTGTCCTCACACTGCACCTGAAGAGGTTTCAGCAGGTACCCGTCCCAGATTGAACGCCACTCTGCATTTGGACGCTGAGTTCATTCACAGTTTTGCCGCCTATTCAAAGGGTCTGTTTCCTGAACCAGTTCTTGTGTCCTAATGCATGGGTTGGTAACGTGATCCATGGAGGGCCAGTGCGGGTTTTCGGGATGACCTCTCAATCAGCCAGTAATAAAGCAGTATTTCTCAACTCCAGTCCTGAGATCCCACTGTTATTGGCTGATTTAGAGGCCGTCCTAAAAACCCGCACTCACACCGGCCCTCCAGGGATCAGGTTCCTCTGCCCTGCCCAAGAGCAACAATGATGCGGAGAAGTATGTAAGGAATCCCTGTCCTAATGGAAGAGCTGTTGAATAAGCACTGAAACCTCCTTCCTCCTGTCTTCCCTGTGTGTCCTGGCAGGTCGGGTACAGCGTCTGTAAGGTGAACCGGCATGTCCATTTCCCACAAATTCTGGACCTGGCGCCGTTCTGCTCGGTGAACTGCAAGGTAACTGATTCGGTGTTGGCCATTCCACTTTACACGGGTTCTCATGCGGCCAGAACCACTGGGCTTTTTTTGGTGATCTTAACATAGATATCGGAATATGTTCTAATCGCAGTCCACATTTCTGTGAACAGGGTTTGACTCTTGATTCCCAGAACCTGGCGGAGGGAGAGAGGCATGTGCCGTATGCCCTCTATGGCGTGGTGGAGCACAGCGGGACCATGCGGTCGGGACACTACACCGCCTACGTCAAAGCCCGGCTGCCCGACCAGAGCACCACGATGAACGGGCTAACCACACGAGGTGGGCGAGACAAGGCCGTTTCGCTTAATTCACATTTTAAATATAGAATTAATTTGCTGAGTTTTGCTCAGTTGAGGTAATTGAGTGGATTTGCATGGCTGGTCTTTTAAACAATGAGAGGTCCTTTAAAATAGCAGGTGCTCTTCTAATAGTCCAAATATGTCCAAAACGTATGTGGACACCAGCTTGTCCTGCATCTCATTCCAAATGCAGTGATATTAATATGAAGCTGGTCGGCCCTTTGCTGCTGTAATATCCTTTACTCTTCTGGGAAGGTTTTCCATTAGATGTCAGAACATTGCTGGTGGGACTAGCGGCTATTCGGGTTGGGTATGGATGTTGGGTATGGATGTTGGGTGATCAGGTCCCATTCTGTCACATTTGTACCTTCACAGTCAGCTCACTTGTGGTTGACCAGGGCTGCTGTGGAGAGCTGACCTGTCGGAAAGATGGTGTCTTATGATGGTGCCAAGTTGAAAAACACACGCTGGTGTGCTTAATTATGCATGTTAGCAGTGGGTGTGGCTTAATTAGCCAATTTCTTTAATTGGTGTGTCCACATACTTTTGGCCAGGTAGTGTATTATGCATAATACACTATATTGCCAACAGTATGGGGACACCCCTCCAAATCATTGAATTCAGGTGTTCCAATCACTTCCATAGCCACAGGTGTATAAAATCAAGCACCTAGGCATGCAGACTGTGTCTACAAACATTTTCAAAAGAATGGGTCACTCTCAGGAGCTCAGTGAATTCAAGCATGGTACCGTGATCGGATGCCACCTGGGCAATAAGTCCATTTGTGAAATTTCCTCATTACTAAATATTCCATGATCAGCTGTTAGTGGCATTATAATAAAGTGGAAGCAATTGGGAACAACAGCAACTCAGCCACAAAGTGATAGGCCACGTAAAATAACAGAGCAGGGACAACGCATGCTGAGGCTCACAGTGTGCAGAAGTCGCCAACTGTCTGCAGAGTCAATAGCTACAGACCTACAAACTTCGTGTGACCTTCAGATTAGCTCAAGAACAGTGCATAGAGAACTTCATGGAATGGGTTTCCATGGCTGAGCAGCTGCATCCAAGCCTTTCATCACCAAGTGCAAAGCGTCAGATGCAGTGGTGTAAAGCACAGTGCCACTGGACTCTAGAGCAGTGGAGACGGGTTCTCTGGAGTGAAGAATTACGCTTATCTGTCCTATCTAATGTATAAGTCTGGGTTTGGAGGTTGCCAGGAGAACGGTACTTGCCTGACTGCTTTGTGTAAGTAATGTAAGTGTAAAGTTTGGTGGAGGGGGATCATGGTGTGGGGGTGTTTTTCAGGGGTTGAGCTTGGCCTCTAAATTCCAGTGAAAGGAATTCTTAATGCTGCAGCATTCAAAGCCATTTTAGACAATTTCATGCTCCCAGCTTTGTGGGAATGGTTTGGGGATGGCCCCTTCCTGTTCCAACATGGCTGCACACCAGTGCACAAAGCAAAGTCCATAAGGACATGGATGAGAGAGTCTTTTGTGGAGGAACTTGACTGGCCTGCACAGAGCCCTGACCTCAACCTGATGGAACACCTTTGGCATGAATTAGAGCAGAGACTGCGAGCCAGGCCTTCTCATCCAACATTAGTGCCTGACCTCACAAATGCTCTCCTGGGAAAATGGTCAAAAATTCTCAAAAACCCTCTTAAACCTTGTGGACAGCCTTCCCAGAAGAGTTGAAGCTGTTATAGCTGCAAAGGGTGGGCCAACACCATATTAAAGCCCTATGTATTTATACTGTAATGTCATCAATGTTCATGTGTGAGTAAAGGCAGGTGTCCCAATACTTTTGGTAATATAGTGTATGTATGGCACTGCTGGTCAGTGGGGTAGAACTGTGCCCCCCCCTCCCCCCAGGTCCAAAGATGTACAGTTAGTTGAATCAGTGTCTCTAAGTAGTTTGTGTGCCCTGGCCTGCCGTGGTATTCTCTAGGGACTCCCATAGAGAAGAAATTACAGAGGATGGATGGATGGATGTCTAATATATGCAGCCTAGAGTCAATGGCTGCCATCCCTGTGAGACCTTCCAGCTGGAGTCATGCAGGTGTCTCTCTCTCCATCAGGTGACCCCCAACCAGAGAAGGGATCCTGGTACCACGTCAGCGACACTAGTATTCAGCCCGTCCCAGAGAGCAAAGTGCAGAGCTCCCAAGCCTACCTCCTGTTCTATGAGAGGATCTCTTAAGGGCCGTGAGGGGGCGCTGTGGAGGGATAGGGGAGGACCGAGACCAGCATCCTTTTGCGTCGGTGACGTCGTAAACGACTGCCGTGTGTCACCGAAGGCCTTAGTGCTCAGGTGAACATGCAGTCACCCCAGTTAGAGGGGTGGTTTTTACAGTACTGTGATCCTTGTCAAATGCCGGTTAACAATAATCATATGTGATTAATGTTACAAACGTTTAAGGGACAGGGAGCAAACGTTTAAGGACTATTACATTAGCTGACTCAGTGATTATTAATCCACAACAGTGCAGGGAAAGAAGATGTATTTTATTAACATCATGAGATTTTTTTTTATTTTTTAAAAACCTGTTTATTCTGGAAATGGAAGCATGTATGCCGTGCAGTCTCTGTCTCTCTCTCTCTCTCTCTCCCTCTCTCCCTCTCTCCCTCTCTCCCTCTCTCTCTCTCTCTCTCTGAAGATTCTGAGATGTGCTGGAGATGTTTTGGAAAAACTGTACGTGTGCTGTAGTGAAAGAAACGATGTTGGTGTACACTAAATAGAGATTAAATGTCTGCGGGGGGAAAATACGGTGATTCAGGATAAAATTTATTTTCAATTTTTTAAGTATTTATGACATCTTTATGGCTGCATCAGTATTCACTCAAAAAGATATTGGAGATGTAATTTTGTACAGTTTCGTAAATGATTTAACTAGCGTTTCCACAACCTAGTCGAACAGATGGTATTTAAATAAATGAATAAAACTGAAATGCAACAGCTTATGTTGTTTTCTTTTTTTTTTTCCTCTGACTGCTAATGAAACATCTGAGAGTGATTTGCTGAGTAAGTTCAGTGACATTAGTTAATTTTTTAATATTTTTTATTTTTAAAGAGGCGTTCGTTTATCATATTGGAGGTATGCGGGACAACTTATTTACGATGCTAAGTTCGGTCTAATGACCTGCACTGATACTTAATTCCAATACTTGACCACTAGGTGGCAACATTTGACAGTTACTGTAAGAAAGGGGCGTAAATGTGCTTTTTGTGCAAAACTGAACTAACAGAGCGGTAGCAAACACGATAACGTAGCGAACAAGAGCTACTTTTTATTTCCTTTTTCCACCTGTTGAAACAGAAATACATGACTGCAAATCACAGAAAGTTAATGTGTTCAGTGGGGGAGTCATTCATTTCGTGCCAATTTTAATGATGAAAGACAAGTCGAGTTTGCCTATTATAATGTAATACAAATAAGCAGATATACATTGAATTACATTATGATACCCCCCTCATTCTCGACCGGAAAAAAAAATTATCGAAAATGTAAAATGATTAAGGAAGACTTCGTTTAGCCAAACGTGGACAAGGGGGGGTGGGGGGAACGTCACATCATCTTTCGCCTTTAACAAATACCAGTTAATAAGAAACAGGCCAATCACAAAAGTACATACAACGTCTATTAAACGCCTTAAAATGTCATCTGTGTCGCCGATTTTGCCTCAGGAAAGACCCTGGATATAATGCATGTGAAAATGACATAAGAAATAAACGCTCCCAGATGGCGGAAGCCCGGGGCTGCCGGGCGGAAGAGTGGCGGGGCAGACGCGATTAGCGTCACATGATCACTGTTAGGAAAGGGGGAAGGAAAGAAGGTGGGGGAGGGTGTTGGGGTAAAACGCTGACAGAAGGCTGGCAGGCAGGTACAGAGGGCTACCAACTTTGATCAGACGTGGTGGAGGATGACGGTACCGGGGGAGCTCGGCTGCTGAGGCTGCAGTACGGATATGACGGGCCTGTGACAGGTTTGTGACACCCCCTCCCCGCATTGTGTTAACTTTAGTATTCGAGTCAGACTTTAAACTCGGCGTTCTAAAACGTGTTTCCGCGATCGGTCTTTACAACGATTTCTAAAAATATATATTTGAAGTCCTGGCTTTGGGCAGTGATCCATGCTGCCCATTATGATATACCCGCATTGAATACATGCGATTAACACCGTGGGATGACACGGTCTCAGCCTGTGGACCGATCACCCCCTTTACGGTTCATCAGCCTTTACATCGTATAGCACATTCCTGCAGAACGTGTCGACTTTTCCCGTGATCATGCTGTTAAACGTCCAACGACGACAGCTAGTCAACTTAGTGACATCGTTTTCGTAAAATCCCAGGAATGGGGGCGGTTGTCTGTTAGCTAGCTACTAACCAGCTGTGCAAAAACTTAACCGAGAATAGGAGCTGCTTGGTCATTTTGGATTGCATTTCACCAGATCGGCGTCCAGATCAAGCGAGGGAGGAAGGCACTGCAGTTAGATCGCACGCTGCCAGTGCCTTTTTATCGTTATAAACTTGCAAAAGGCGAAGCTCAGGTGCTGGTGCTTTAAATACGAATTTATCCGTATTTAAACTGTTTCTACACCGATGGGGACGCTGGACAGTGACGGTGGCCTGCAATTTACAAGACAATAGCAGGTTCTTGCCGTGGTTAGCAGACATTATGCTGCCTCCACTTACATTCCGAGTTGAACTAAATTTGCTGCGTCAGGGGAGGTAATTTTGCTATATATGACTGGACTCGAAGCGTGCTGATATACTTTTGACGTCTTAATACAGTCAATACTATATATTATGGGTTAGCACCCGTAGCAGCTCTCATAAGAGGGAAAATATAGTCGGAAAAAGTCCTGTTTATTTCCTTTTTATGGTGAATGGAGGAATGGATTTAAAAATGGGGACAGAAGCGTGACTCAGCAGGTTCCGCTGTTGGATAACAAGCGTGAGGCGTGACGCCGCTCTGTCACACTGTCAGATCAGCGCGAGCCTGGAGGCTCTGCTCGTGCTGCTTCTCTGACGGAAGTATATATATATTACTCCCTAAAATTCATTTGCAATTTCGCTGTAAATAGATTTACAATGATTTGCTAGTAATTGTATTACTGATACTGCTAGTGAAATTATGCAACCAAATGAAAATATACCGGAGCTTGGAACCCCCTAGCACTACTGTGGTCACATAATAACTAAGAATTAAGGACCGGAGATGCCTTTAATATTACTTCCTTGTATTGAATATCTTCCGCTCCAGATGGAACTACAGGTAGGTATGTCACAAAAAATTTCAAAGTTGTTGGATTTTTACAAAAATAGCACCAGAAGAAAGGGCTTGATAATACCTTTCCAATGATACCAAGAACTTCTTTCTGTGGTGAATGGCAAGAAAGTTATAGGATATTTTGTAACGCCAATTAAGGCTTTTTAACGTCCATTTAGTAACAGATAAAACAATGGAGAACCATACTTGACTTTGTGACCTGTTTATGGTGTTCAGAAAAATGAGCATAACTCTGTTATTGTTTATCAGATTTTAATAAACTAGGTATCATTAGAAAGCTTATCCCTTGCCTAACAGTCTCAGATACACTGAAAATAAAACAAATAATTATTTAATTTATTTGTCTGTCAATTAATACTCACCGGAGAATGTATGTAGTGAATAATACAAAGAATGTCTTTTCAAAGAGTCCACAGCATCAAATTAAAAAGTACTTTGTGTTATCATTATAATCCATTCAATAATAATACATTTGAAAAGCATTGTCCATAGTAAAGTATCAAAAGGTACAGGTAAATATGCAGTATGTGCCCGTAAAGAACTGTCTGATCTCCGGGAGTTGAAGAAAAGAAGTCTTTGAGATGCTGCCTTGCTATGCCAGCCCGTGCTGGTTGTGGAGGATTACGTTTTCTCTTCATGTTAAAGGTAACTGAAAAGACAATATGCAACTATTTCTAGCCTTTCCAACCCATTCAAAATTATCAATCATCTGTGTTACAAAAGCAAGCGATGGGTATCTACTCCATTTTATTACAAGAATATATATTCATAAACACATATAACCTCATTTAAAAGCCTTCACATCATTTTAAAGCTGTAAATTCCATGCTGAAAATCATGCTATTTTCGGCTCTTGCTGCACTGTTCACCACAAAACATGACCGGCTCTCGCGGCGGATCCAAAAAAGTGAACTGCTGATCGATACATTTTGCTCAAAATACGCCTAAATACAATAAACTAACTAAGAAATATAATTATCATAGTTTGAAGAATAATTCTGCTTACCTTTATTGTCCCAACGAAGGTTTTAACGAGTGAAATTTTCGGTAAGATCGGGAGGAAATTTCGAAGTTATCAGAAAGTCAGATTACCGTGTTTTGAATGGAAATCCCCAGATGAAGGTGTGTCAGAACGGGTTACCCTAATAGACACAAAAATAACACAACAAAAAGGCAAAAACTATTGGGATACCCTGGTGCTCTGGGGAATGGCGACCAAATTGAAAACGAGGCTTATGGTTAGACTTGATTGGAGATATCAAGTTATTAATGGAGGCAAATGTACATTTTAAGAGTCTGGTGTTAAATGCACATCAGGATGGCGTTTGACCTAAACAAACATTTGCTTGTAATATTGAAAGTAAAAAAAAATTCCCCTCACAGAGAAAATCACTGCAGACATGCTGCCGTCTTACATTTTCCTCCTTTTTTCCCGGACTAGACAATGGCTGACGGCATGTCCTCAGAGATCCCGCGCTCCTCCAGCTTCTCTTTCCAGTCCTCGGTGCACAGCGCCCATGTCCTGCGCTGCCTGGACGAGCAGAGGAGGTGCGATGCACTGTGTGACCTGACGGTGGCGGTAGAGAGCCGTAGCTTCCGCGCGCACCGCGCTGTGCTGGCCGCCTGCAGCGACTACTTCCAGAGCCGTGTTGGCAGCCATGCCAGCGAGGGGCTCATCATTACCCTGCCTGAAGAGGTAAAAATGTAAAGTGTACGTCTATAACAGCGGTGTGCAGTGGTCAGGGGCAGGTTCACGCCTCCCTGCTTATTTAAAAGCTGGTGAATACAGTCAGAAGATCTTACAACCCCATTTCCAAAACAGTCGGGGCGCTGTATAAAATGTAAATAAAAACAGAATGCACTGATTTGCAAATCACATAAACCCATATTTAACTGAAAATAGAACAAAGACACCAAATGTAGAAACTGAGAAATTCAAACTGACCATATAGTTATCATAAAACAATAAAATTCTTAGTTTCAATTTCAATTTTACACAGTGTCCCGTTTTTGGAAACAAGGTTGTACCTAGCTGGTTAGCAGAACATGCTGCTTCAGCACTTACTAAATAAGGAAAGTGTTTTTTATATTAAGTGTAGTGACTGCTTGTGGCCAATAGGGGGCCCCAAGCAAATGCTTGGTTTGAGTGGTGGTAAACACCGCTGCTGCCCATGCTGGCTTGTGAGTCGTACTGTAGCCTCGCATGTTCAGGGGCATTGGTTCAATTCCTACCCCTGCTGGTGTGTGTGTGTAGAATTTGTGGGTTTTCCCTGTCACATGGGTTTGTTTAAGGTTACTCCACAGTCCTCCTGCAGTCAAAATCATGCAGTTTGGGCATTCCCTGCCTCGTGCCCTGTGATAGACTGGCATCCCATCCGGGGTGTCCCCTGCCTCGTGCCCTGTGATAGACTGGCATCCCATCCAGGATGTCCCCTGCCTCGTGCCCTGTGTTTCCTCACATAAGTTCCATGCTCACTGGAATTCTGTACCAGATGAGTGCTTATGGACCACTGATAGACAGAATGAATGTAATTAAATCAGCTAATGCTGAGTACGTCCCGACTAATGGTCATCATGCTTCTTTTGATAAATATAACAACATGTACACACTGTGTTAAGGCTGATGACTAATTAATAATTAAGCTCCCACACAGTGCTTGAAGTATGTCATTTGGAAAGCTTTGTGAGCCTGTACTATGACTTATTTTTTAGGTGACTGTGAAAGGGTTCGAGCCATTGCTACAGTTTGCCTACACTGCCAAGCTCTTATTCACCAAAGAAAACATTCTGGAGATCCACAACTGTGCAGCCGTCTTAGGATTTCACAACCTCGACAAAGCTTGTTTCGAGTTCCTCATCCCCAAGTTCTTCGACAAGAGCAGGGGTCTGCAGGGAACTCAGAGGAAGTCGTGCTGCAGACAGAAAAAGCAAGTGGACATTAGTGTAGGTGTAACCGAGGATGATGATCACCATGGGGCCCAGCCGGGTGCTGGCTCCGAGATGGCACTTCCCCAAAGGAGGAGCAGTGAAATTCAGTGTCCTGTGGCAGAAATGTCCTTGGAGATAGCAGAGAGCCACGGACAGGATTGCACTGAGATGGATGTGCAAACGGACTACGCCCTTCCGAGTTCCAACAGCAGTGCATTGCAGCTGGCTTGTGGGAAGGACCGTCTGTGTTTGGAGAATTGCGGTCCTCAAATGCCATTCCCGTCGCCAGCTCTGTCCAGTGAAGGCTGCGCGTCCCCTTGCCTACCCTGCACTGGCGGGGACCACGATGACAGTAGTGTTTGTTGTGGGACCAGGACTGAGATCAGTGACGATTGTGTGAGCGAGGTTGCCGTTACGGCCGACTGTCTCCCCTGTGTGACGACATCTTCTGCAAGTCCTGCCTCCATGGCTTTCAGGGAGACGCTAGACATGGCCTGCAGTCAGCCATGTGGACCAGCGCCGCCCGGGCCTGGCTGCTGTCCAGTCGCTCCCTTTGGAGATCTCGATTCTTCTGTAGTCGTGGGAGGAGATGCAACACTGGAACCGACTGGAAGTCAAGGGGTGGTGGACATCATCCCTTCCGAGGCAGCCCTCCCTGACCTGACCCCAGACAAGCCGGGGCCGGAACGGAGTAGCGTAGAGCGGGAGGTGGCTGAGCACCTAGCCAAGGGTTTCTGGTCCGATTTGTGCCCCCCGCAGGCCGAGCCCCTGATCTTGGAACCTGTGGCCCAGTCCACGCTGGACAAGACCACAGACTTCCACTGGCTGAAGCACCTGGACCTGACATCCAGCACAGGTGACTGCCCCTTCCTCAGAGACCTGGGAGCAGATGAGGTGCAGCTTCCCAATAACGAGCAGGGGCTGCAGCTGGAGAAGAGCCCCCAAGTCTCCTCCCTCAACTCCGGGGAGGATTCCGATTTCGACACTGAGGGGGATAGCGAGCCATACACCGAGAGAGCTCAAGAGGTGAGTAATGTCCGTGGTCGAGAGACGACATTGAGCAAGAAGTCAGAAGCATGTAGGGTTACAAGTTCATAGTGGGGATGCAATGAAGAAGTCCCAAGTAACTCAGTTCATACAGCTGTACATTTCTCACATTTTGCTAAACTTGGAACTGAATTTCTGTCATTCACATTCCTTGATCCTCCTGGTAGTTTTAGAACTAAATTCTTTGCACCAGTGCTTTTGTGTTTTTTAATTGTGTTTTTCAAAGTATTCTGGAATTTCTTATAGATTGCAAAGATCCTCAATTGTAGATGTGATAGATTTTCATTGTCTTACAACTTTTAGCACTTTACAACTGTTATGTCACTTCCTACTGCACAGCTCAAGTGATTGTTCAGTGTGCAGAGGTGGGGTTCACGTAGAATGATTTTACTAACAAAAGTGAATTTCAGATCCTTAAAATCTTCCCGCCAGTATAATCATGGCTCAGTTGGCCTCCAAGTTTTTGTCACTAAGGGTGGAGGTTATGTCACTTCCCCAATGAAGAGCCAATCAGGAGAGGGGGAGAAAGGTGAATCCAAGGAGGACAGGTCAACTGTCGCCCACTCTCTGAATGACAGGGGCTACATCCCGAAACCCTCATTTTCGCCACCCTCCCTCGCTACCTCTCCATCGCCCCAGAGGTCTTTCCGAATTCCAAATGTCCAAGTGCTGTCCCCATTCCTTAGAGAACGAGTAACTGAGGGCCGATTTTCACCCAAATCCCCCCTTCGCCAGGGATGTGTGGAAGTATAGTTGAAAAGCATTTCGCATCAAAAGTGTGGAGAGACTGAAGAAGTGTCTTATTTGTGGAAAGATTTTAATGACTTCTAACTGTGGTTTTCCCTGAGGAAACGAACTATTATTTAGATTTATTTGGATACTTAATATTTGGTTTTTGTAATGGATTTTGTTTTCAAATGACATATAAACACCTTTCAATATGCTCATTAATAGCTTATTTAGATGTTTTATTTACAGTAAGATAAAGGGAAACATCGCAAGGAACCAGGGAAAGAATAATGGGTAACCAAACCATAATAAAACAGCCTTTTTTTGTGGGGGCGAAGCATAAGTAATACTTCAGTGATGACTTCATACATAGAGGCGGAACGTGGTAAGTCATTGAGGGTGCAAGTGTGTCCCGATACCACTTTTTTGCGCGAGCTCCCTTACTTACTCACTCTCTCTCCTTCCATCCCTCATCAGCTTCATGAACTTTCAACTTTAGACAGCAAGTCATAGAGGGAGGGGGTGGAAAAAGTTTTGGGATGTAGCCAGGATACATCATCCCCCCCCTACAGTCCCCCCCCCCCACCCCAGAGGCCTAAAATCTGTCACACTCATGTCCCCAGGTTCAGCTCCCCTTTCCGGCAGAGGAGATCTCGTCCCTGAGCCGCAATGACTTCCAGCATCTGCTGAAGGTGCACCCCCTGACCCGGGAACAGCTGGACTTCGTGCATGACATCCGGCGTCGCAGCAAGAACCGTGTCGCGGCACAGCGCTGCCGCAAGCGCAAGCTGGACTGCATCCAGAACCTGGAGTGCGAGATTAACAAACTGGTGCGTGCTTTGTTTTAACCGACTAAATTAATTAGGTGATTACCTTTAATTAAGCAATTAAATCACAATAAACACGTGCTAGATTTGATTGTCTGTCTGCACCAGCCAGGGGTGGCTGATGTCAGCTTTAGAATGTTATAGGTCAACCGGCTGCAGTTTATAAGCATGGTTCCCCTTCTGGTCCTGATTTCTAAACAGTTTAGTGCTTCACCATTGATTCCCCAGCCTGGGAATTGTTAAAATGGCTGGTGCTCTCAAACACCACCAGTTACTCCCCATCCCAGAGCGTTTCTGCATCGTTCCTGTTATGTCAGCAATGGCCTACATAAACCCTGAATCGATTGCTTATTGTTAAAAAAATAATAGTGCTCAATGGACAACAGGTTGAGTGCTCTAAGCGTGACATAGAATATAGATCAGAATATATATTTCACCCAGACAGTCAAGTTGACCTAAAAGTGATGTTAAAATTTTTTACTTGTCTAGAATATAGAATGTACCTAGTTCATGTTGAGTTATATTCTCTATGGTGGCGGCAGGTGAAGTTTCACCAGATTTTACTGAATTGAGCGGCTGAGAGGAAACGTAATGAGAAGCTGCTTTTTATGAGTTTGCCACCTCTGTTGTGAGCCCTTGCCTTCAAGTTGCTGTTTTCTGCCTTTGTTGACCTTTGGCTCAATTCAAGTGAGGCAGCTGACTGGCTTCGTCCAAAACAGCTGCTGGTGTAGCTTGCAGTTCGATTCATTGATAATCGGGTTTAAAAGGCTGAGCTGAAAATCAGGGCCGCTCCTCAGCCTGTGCCTTTAACCACCAGAACCATGCTGTTCTCTCTGGTTTTACTTTATACTTGAAAGTTTTGAGGTTTGAATCCAGTCTGCAGCAGAGTGGCCACATTGCCATTGGAACCCTTGAGCGAGGCCCTTAACCCCCAAAACTGCTCCAGGGCATCTGGAGAGCCGGCCTGACCCTGCGCTCAGTCCCCAGGCTTCACTCTCATCTGTATGTGTGTGTCCTAAAGGAGAGCATGATGGGATATGCAGAAAGAAGCCGTCCACTGCACCTGTACTCATACTGGCAGAAATGACAAGTAAAGCATCATTTCCTGTGATTTATTCCACTTGCCTTGCAGAACAGCGAGAAGCAGAAGCTGCTGCAGGAGAGGAACCAGCTCCGGATCTCCATGAAGGAGACTCTGCAGAAGCTCTCAGGCCTGTGCCAGAAGGTGTGCAACGAGACCGGCCTCGTACCAGAACAACTGCAGCCCCTGGCGAAGCAGTCGGCCCTGGACGGGCTCCCCACCGCCACCGCCGGCCCCCACCGGGACAGCCCCGAGCAGGACACCCCCACAGGCTTCTCTGTAGACTTCTGTGCAGATGAGGTCATCACCGCCACCCAGCAACCAGCTCCGCTGGACTGTGGTACAGACAGGCCTGTCTCCGTGGCAACCAGCTGCCCCAGTCCGGAGCTTTGCGACCCAATTTCCATCATGGGTATCTGTCTGGACAGGAGCGCTACGTGCGTGACTGACACAGGGTCTTTCACACCCTCCCCCTTTCCTAATTTTAAATAACGGACTTAAACATTTAGTTTATCATTTTTAAACCTGCTGTCTGGTCCACAAAATTTGTCCCTGCAGTATTATCCAAGTCTTTTTTGATATATCTTTAATATATGATGTATATATCCATCATTTTACCCAGGGAATGGAAAAGGCTGTGGAAGCAAACATTGCTTTTTGTTACTACCAAAGATTAGCACCCCAGCATAAAGCAAACTAGTTTTTATTATTGATTATACCTTCCTAATGAGGTCTTTATAATGAATGTACATACAAGTATATGTACTTCCAGTATGTTTCTGTATGTTTGCATACATACAATATATTTACAGAATCAGTATGGCATTTCAGTATGCAATATGTATGTAACATTTGCAAGATTTATGGATCTTATGGTATAACCCTGTTGTTTTTTTTAAATGGTATGGCCAGGAATTTGGTTTAAATGCACTGGAACAAAGTGCCTTATTTTTAACTACAGGACCACAGCGTGCCCTGAAAATGCTTGTTCCACAACGCCGCTGCCCACCGCAGCCGGACCATTCCTGGGTTGGTGGGGGGTGGGGGGGAGTGGAGGGGAGAGTCGTACTATTATCACACCTTGGGTGGTTGTCATGTCCTTTTGAGGACGTGAGCATTTTAGTCGCTGCCATGTGCTCAGTGGCCTGAATGGGAAACGTTTCCAGTAACGAATCTGGTTTATTGGAGACGTCACTGGCCGGCATGTGCTGGTGCTGCGGAGGTGAATATTTGACAGTCCTCTGTTTGTTGACGTAACACCAAAACATGAACCGCAGACACACCTGTGCATCTTAGGCTTTTTGGTCTTTTCTGTCTTTGGGTTGCATTTTTATAACTTTGCAGCTGGGTATTATACAGTAGCAAATTTAGAATAGGTACCTTCTGTTAAGCTAGATCAGTTTTCTTGGGGTTAACTTGAACCTCGTAGCCTCATCTCTGAGTACTCTAACCCTATGTTACCCTCCGTAAAATATGTGCAATAGGAATTAAATGAATTATAGATTGTATGAGGATTTATGAAAGTGTTTAGCAAAACAAATTGCAAAAAAAAATGTAAATTTTGGAGTCGTCTTGTTTTGAAACAAACGTCTTTAATATGCAATATTCCAGGGTTCTCTCTTCCAGTCACTGAACCTGGGTGAGTGCTTCTAGCACGTGGGACATTCCCCCCCCGCCCGGTCCACATTTTTACTGCCTCCCAGCTCCCTCCCAGACAGCCTCCAAACGTGGACTGTCTGGGTTTCCCAGACACTGATGTAGAGTCAATCACCTCATCAGACACGTTAAATTTCAACAGCTCAATCAGATGATTTAATGAAGCCTAAATGTAAGAGCAATCAGCCCCAAACCTTTGCTGGGCGGATGTGTCCTCACGAGCCGGTTAGTCGCTGCTTCGTGAGGCAGGATTTGCAATCATAGCTGACACTTATTCCAATCTCGAGTTGAAGAGCGGCTGAACAGAGATTGATATAGGTGATTAGTTACAAAATGTATTTATTACATTGATTGATAAGGATGTACAAAAATGTTATTACTGTCAATGTTATTGATTGTACTGAGCAAATTGCCGGTAGCATTAAAGCACTTAGTTTTCAAGTCAAACTTAAGTCAGTAGTGACCAAATACGATCTTGCATAACTCTTGGTTTTACCTGCTACTCCTAATTATTACAGATGTTTATTAAGTATGTATGTGTGTGTTAAGTATTAGGGGGCAGCGTGTGGGCTCAGTGGGCTAAGCCTGTGTACCTGTAATCAGAAGGTTACCAGTTCAAACCCAGCCTCAGCATATCTGCGGGTCCTTGAGCAAGGCCCTTAACCCCCAGCTCCCTGGGCACCACTACAGGTGGCTGCCCTTCACAGACAGCTTACTCTACAAGGAGCAAGTTGAGGGAGGTGTAAAGACAATTTCCCCACAGGGATCAATAAAATATCTATTATTATGTGCATTTAGGCTTAATTAGGGGGTTATGGGACGATCAGATAGGAGGTTGCCGTAATTTTCTGAAATTTACAGGATCTAAAAAGGATATAAGGTTTGGTTCACAGACCTGCACCAATCTAGCTCCGTTCCATTTGACCTGTGATCAAAGGCATTAAATCATAAAAAATATTGATATGCATTCAGATCTACTGTAATATTTTTGAAAATTTAGAAACTGCTGTTATTTGTCCTTTGATATCTTCCGTTTATCTTGCAATAACTCATTTCAGACGATTTAACCCGATGATTTTCTGCTTCCATTGTATCAGGTGCTAGTAATACAGTCTCTGGTTTCCTATATTCCTGTATTGGAAAAATGTTCTCTTTTGTTATAGCTGCATGATACTAATGAAGAGTGTTATAAATTAGACTGCACGGCAGCCTGAAAGCAGCCTTTTATATAATATCTTGTTTGGATAGCTGATCCTTGGTGTGTCAGATGGTTGCTGAAACGTAACACCGTAAGTTAATACGACGTCTATGTCTATCTTGCGTAATTAAGCCATGTGGTCAATAACCGCAATTTTCTTGGGAACCAGGGAGCCGTAAGTCCTTCTGATCAATGTATGATTTTTCACTTGAAATACCGGGGGTGTGGAGGGGAGGAAGACTCAGTAACGAAATAATAATTTCGGTAAAGCAATTAAGAGCTGAGATGAAGCGGAAAAACAAAAAGAATCCAGCCCCCACCCCGAAAGGGCTGGGCATAGCATTATAAAAAGTCTCAACTCCTTGAGGGCCACTGCATGTCAAGAGGTCTTTAATTGTCAAACAACCGTAGTTGAATTAGCACATTTAAAGCAATAATGAATAAAATCAAATAATGAAGTACCCGGTTGGAACAAAATCCTATGTATGAACCAACTGTCTAGGGTCTGGACTCCATAATTGTGTTTTTTTAATTGTGTTTACAAATTCTTGTTTGTTTTACCTTTTTTTTATTATTTTTTTAGATAATTATGTCATTTGTCACTTTAAGGACACTTTTTTTCTCGTAACTACTTTTCTTAAACAGAGGTAAGAAATAAATGGCAAAGGTTTTTAAATGGATTCTGTGTATTTTGTGACCGCAGAGTTGGATATTTCAGAAGCACATGGAACCCCTGAGCAGTAATTTTGACAGGTTTCAATAACAGCAGCAGTAGTTGAGCAGAATTAACTTGGGTAGTACCCTGGCATGGCCGAGTGAGGGCAGTCTGTCATCAGTAGACACACTGTTGGTAAGGTCATGATTTGTTCCATATGAGGATCTTAGAAAATCTGAGCGCAACACTGAAGCAGAACATGTCCAAATGGCCCAATCATCTGTTTTAGCTTTTCTTTGTACAGTTTTATCCTTCGTCAGCTGCACAGCCTGAGAAGACACTTAGGTCTTATGTCTAGCGAGAGGAGTTTGTCTAGATTCAAGGCCTGTTGTCTCAAGCTTTCCACACCACCGGGTGTCATAAAAGTCACTTCTGGTCTCGTCCTTCTTCTTCAGAGTATCTATCATTCATTCTTTATATTTGCTATATTCTAATCAGAGGCCAATAATGTTTATTTTTTGGCAAAAAATACCGAGTTACCATGAAATGTAGACCTAAGAAAGCATATGGATCTGCTCACTCAGTTATTGAAGAAAATAATCATAGAGATGTTGTACTGACTTGGCAATCAGTGCAAAACTCACAAATCACAGAACATGCTTTCAACAAAATGTGTGCACTGGTACATCTTATTAATGCGTTAGACATAACCAGCAAACATTTACTAAAGGTTGCCATATTCAAGGCCCGACTTACGCACCGGCTAACCTGAGTTTTAAGGCCCCAAAAGATATTTTCCGCATGGTATGGCAGGGTTTTATGCTGTAGTGAGGGTTCTAAGTCCTGTAAATTCAGTCTTGACCATAATCCATTATTTGGGGGGGAGGGGGGAAAGGAGCGGGCGCTGATTACAGGGCGTTGCCGCACCCACCACACGATAAACCACCTGAACCCGAGAGCAGCCATGTGGCAGGTCATACCTCAGCACTGCACTAGCCCGAATGGATGAGCCAATCCTGCCACCAAGCCCTAAATTTCCCTGTAAGTTGGAGGTGTTGAAGCAGCCAAAATAATTAAAGAAGAAACAGGATGGATCTTTACTTGGACCGTGTGTGTATTTATCCTGTTTTTGAGTGGCCTCCTTGTAGTTTCTGTCGTGAATCACTGGACACTGCAAATTAGCAAGCTCTCCTATCACATAAGGCTTTCTGCACCTGTGTCTGGTTTATCAATAATATCTGAGGTTATATATAATCTTGCAGAAAAATTGGCATAATTTTTCCATTAACTTATCTAGAGAAGTGATTGGGTATAAATGATTAATTGGTGTACATTTATTAAAGGAAAAGAAATATAAAAAACAAACTAGGAAAATCGTCATTCCTATTATACCAAGAATAGCCTCTTAAGCATCATAAATCTACAAATCTACAGTGAATTGTTTTTTTTTTTTTTAACAATGAACAGTGCTCAATGGACAACAGTTTGAGTGCTCTAAACGTGACATAGAATATAGATCAGAGTTTATTTTTCACACAATGTATCGTTTTGTAATTTATTTTGAAATTCTTAATCTATTGAAATTGTATTCCCTGAGTCATATGGTTTATACTAACTGGAGAATCGGTTTTATGTCTTTCCTAGGCGGGGAGAATATGAATAGGGATGCAGATTAGAGTTTATCCGGCGTAAGTCCCTGGTGGTCTCATTATGACTTTCAAGCTCACGAATGCCTGGGTTTTACTGACTGGGTCGCAGCTTGAAACGATCCCTAAAGTGTTTTGGAAACAAACTATTTAGTGTTTTTCAGCTTGATGTACTGTGTCACTGTTTTTATCATGACAAAATATGGAATATAAAATTTCACCTTTAATGTATTTAATCTCTTTTTTCATCAGATAGAAATTTAAGGAGGTTGTGGGTTTGGGGGGCATAAAATTCGTTATTTTCAGTGCTACAAAAATTGTTAACGTTATTTAATGAAGTAATGTAACTGTCTTGTCAATGGGCATGTGTATATATCAACCATAGTCAGTCATTGTAAAAAGTTAACAAAGTAAACTAATCTGCAGACAGGTTGATAAACCCATCGCCCGGATTAATAGTGGGGCACCCGCTTCTATTATTTGTATATCCTGCAGTTTGTGCTGTTAAAATTCACAACTGAGGTCCTTCTCCATGTCTGTGTTCTTCTGCCAGCGTTTCCAACTAAATGGGGGCAAACGGCAACAATGAGGTCTTTCGGGCAACATGTGTGGGAGAGAGGAAGATCAGTGTCAGAGCGTAGGCTGAACCAGGTCAGGCGAGGCAGTCAGAGGCTGTAATCCCAGCCCAGGAGAAAAAGAAAGACTCATAGTTTCTGATTAAGAACGCAGGGCTAGGAGATTACAGGCTGCCTGAAACAAAATGAAAGCAGAGTTAAACCCAATCCTGTAATTCATCAAAAGTCAAAAACCTTAAACCATCATTGCGACAGGAGATTAATGCAAACCCAGCTGAAGCCTTATCTTTTTCTCTCCAAATGCCCCACCAAGTGCGTGTTTGAATACGTGGATGTCTAAACCATTGACTGTTTGGTTTACTTCTTTATAGGTTTGGGCAATTTTTGATGTACTGAAAAATGACAGGAGATCCAAAGCCAGATGTAGAGGGGGGGGGGGCATCTGCATCCTAAACACCACAGACAAAACACTGTGTCAGGTCCTCTTTTCCACTGCCCCTTCTTTTTCATCCCTCTCTCCCTTCATCCCTCTTTTCAATGCAGTTTCCATTTTATGCTGCTTTTCTGCTTCTTGCTGTCTTAGCCTCACTAGTCAATTTGGCCAAATAACTATTTTTATGTTTTGATTATTTAACATGTTTGTTATAAAAATGCACTCTCTCTGTTTTTTATGTTGAGTGCTTCTGCTTTATGTGTTATGAATTGTATTTTATAATTGACATACCCATTCCCGGTCCAATAATTCATTTTGGGATTTTTTGTATATAGGCATCCAGTATTGTTTTGCTTCCAGGGACCTATTTTTATTTATTATTATTCTGAAAAAAAAAACTTACATTCCATCATTTTGTGTTTTGCTGCAGCCATTTTTCTACTAAGTTTCTACTAAATGAAGTTTCAAGGTGAAAATTTGGGGTTAGATGTATTGAAACTTATTTGGCATTTTAAAGTGTATTTTTTATTTAAGATGGTCATTGCTTTCTTACTATCTGTCTCAGACAAAACCATTAACAGAAAAAAATGACTAAGTGTACAAAAAAAAACCACTAAAAATAATCAAAGTAGCTGATGATGTAATGGGCCATTGCCAAACTATGACAATCACTGCAGTTCACCTGGGCTTGTCTGTTAGTCCTATTTAAAATGATCAAATCTCCCTCACCCACTGCCTCGTACTGCCTCGTACACTCACTGTGCTGCTCATACCTCCTTCTCACTCTCGCCGTATTTCACTCTATCTGTGTCTCTCTCTCTTAGTGTCTCTCCTCTCTCTCACTCTCCTTCCCATCCCCTCTCAGTCAGTGTCTCTCACCCTCTCTCTGTCTCCTTCCATCCTTCGCTCTCATTTTTCTCCGGCTCCCTCCGCCTCATTCACACCACCCACCCCGCTTTGAACTTCCAAGCAGGAGCTCCTAGCGCCTAACCTCGCCCTCCTGCTTGCCGCAGCATTTAGCTACCGGCCGACTTAGTTCCTCATCCTTTCTTCCTAAAGTAACTGATTCCAACATCAGCCCCTGAGCTGTTATTCAGCAGAAGATTTTAGCTGTTAGGGTCAAAAAACAAGAAATTGGTGGAAA